GCCTCAGCCCCGAGTCCGCCAAGAGCGACTTCATGTTCCTCAAGCCCTGTAGCCCACGGCCCGCCCGCAACAACGAGCCGGGCCCCGAGCGCCTCCCGGCGCGGAAGCCGCGGGCGGCCAAGAATGCGCTTAATGCCGCCAGCCAGGTAACGCCGGCCCGCGGTGCGGGGCAGGCCCGACCCCCTCCCAGGAAAGAGATGCTCAGGCTCTCGCAGCGGCCCAGCGGCGGGAGCGCACGAGGTGCGCCCGGCTCCCACTAAGCCTGAAAGAGATAAAAAGGCGCGTCTAAGGAGGCCAGGATCCCCCTGGTCCAGGACGTGCCAGCCCCTCGGAGCGCCCCGCTCCCCGCAGCCCAGCAGAGCCGGCCGCGTAGGCGCAGCAGAGAGCAGGGCGGCCTCCCCTCGGAGCTCTCTGGCCTCTGGCTCTCACCTCTGCGCCGTACAGGCAGCGCTAGTTGCTTCGACGCTCCGGTGACCCGCGGGGCTTTTCATCTCCTTTGTCCAGCGCATGCATCCAGCTAAGGCCGATTAAAAGGCAGCCGCTGCCCGGTGCTAGAGGAAGGCTCGGCTCAGAGCTTTCCCCGGCCTGATGAGGGTTGTCTCTGATTCTTACATATAAGTCACCATCGTGGCTGGGGAGGGAAGGGAGCAGGAGAGGGTTTGAGTCCTTTGAGCTATGACGGGCTCATGTGTCCTGCTGCGGTATCTGGCTCCGCGCTCCTACCCGCCAAAGCCTGACGTCTTGTTTGGTTCTTTCAGAGGCGCCTCTTTGTCTTTTTAACCGAGATGGTTGTTGTTGTTGTTGCCATTATCCCATTTCCTAAGGACACCACTTTCCTTCTGGCATCTATTAAAATGAATGCTGAGCTATTGTCAGGGAAGGCGAAAAGCACTTTGTAGAAGACAAATGCCTGACATTCCCGTGAACCGATCACTAGATGGTGCAAAAGTCGAAGCCGCCGCGCTCGGGGAGAAAAACGCGATTTCCAGAGATTCTGATGTCAACATTTGTTAGGTATTTAAATGAGGGACGTCTAATTTGGTAGATGAAATACTCTCCCAGTAACGCGATTAGGGGCGCGGCGGGCCGGCGGAGTCTAATCCACTTACAGATATTTTCCTTTTAACAAAATATCCTTTCAACATCAGCACAAGACATTCCGGAAACAGGTTTTCTTTTTACATTTTTCTTTGGATCATTGGACACGGTTGTCTAATATGTTAATGAGATTTTCCTTCAGTCAGTTCCAAACTCCCCCTAGTGACACGGTGTACACGGCTGATTTCCACACCTCTCCGCCTCGGCCGACATGAATGAGACACCAGGCGAAGTCCCTGCGTTGGGAAGGACATTTAAAAGAGGGGGCATTTAAAAGAAATCTCAAGGAGTAGAGCCAGATGTGCAGATAGGGACTTGGTTGGAAATTAAATCGAGGGCGGGACGTATTCACGAGGAAGTGGGGGCTGTGGGGAAGATAGGAGACTGGTCAGGCTTAGATTTCCGTTTGTACGTGCCTCAGTATCACTGTCTGTGAAAAGGGGCCAGGCTCCATGTGAGCGGCACTGGGCGGCTGGGCGCACGGATCCTTGGAGCGTGGGGCGCTGCTTGTGTGCTCTGCAGAGGGCCAAGCTCTGGTTGTGGCAGTGAAACGCTTTGTGAGGGCTGCAGGTGACGGCAGAGCCCCTCGTGGTGCAACGGGCCTCCTGCTGCCGGAATAACTGGCCTGCTGCCCGCCCCCCACTACAGCGCACTTCCCCGCCTGCCGCGAGAGGGGGATCGGGCCCATTTTGTAACCAGCTGGGGAGGGGATCGGCGGGAGAGAGATCCTGAGCCAACATATCTTCTTGTTCTCCTGCCTTCTGTCGCCCCGCCCGCGGCCACCTGACAGACCTGCCCTCGCAAAGGTCGCCAGCTCTAAGTTTTTACCCTGGAAACTGGCGAGGAGCAGCAGTGCCCTGCCCGGCTCCCGAAGCTGGCTCTGAGCCCCGTGGGCGCCCAGGCGGGCTGGCTCACGGCCAGCAGAGAGGAAGTAACGGGCTGTTTGATGGAAGCCGCCGCCAATAGAGCTTCCATTTCACAATCCAGCGACTGGCACCGAGATTAAAAAATCAGCCGGCCAAGGCCGAGGAGGAGCGTAACCGGGAAAGAAGAATGAATGCCCCCGCGAAGGGCCCGCGACCCGCTTAGGGCGGTGTCTTTGTCTGTCCCCTTCGTCCCCTGTGGTTTGAAGGAGGCGGATTAGAAAACCAGGTGGATTTACTAAAACCAACATTTTATTCACAGGGAGACACACTGCCGTGGGCTCCGGCATGGGGAGCTGGGCTCAATGGCTTTCTGGGAGCAGCCGGCTTGTTGCTTCTCCGTTGAAACGTGGAGAGAAGGCTGGTTCTTTGTCAGTGCTGCAGCCGCAGAAATCCTGCCAGCCGGCGGCGTCCCCGCTTTGCGGGGAGCACAGCAATTACATCCTGTAATCGGAAGCAGCAGCTCCAGCTGCGGGCTGACTGCCAGCTCCGGCTTCCGTGGGAGAGGGAACTACCTCTCCCCGGGGAGAAGGGACCGTTCCGGGCACCAGGGGGCAGCACTGTCCTGCCGGTGCCCCCACGGGCTGCGCGTGTGATTTTGTGCTAGAGGCTGGGACCCCGGATTGCTCACAGGTTCGCTGAAGTCCAGCACCCGGAGCCCGGGCGGGACGCACTTCTGCTCCAGCGATCATTTCCCACTGCTTGCCAGAGCGTGGACCTATATCCATCTCTTTTGGTCTGTTATGTGGGACCTGAGTCCTCAGCGACTTCTCAGCCCACAGAAAAGCAGACACGAGTTCATCCGCTCGCTCCAAATCAATTTAGCTCATCCCTTACACCAAATGGATCTAACCTCATTTGTTCAAGTCCCTTCGCGTAAGCACTCAGCCGCCTTTAAGAAACACTGATGTAAAGCTGAAGTGAATATCTGAGCCGAAGGTGGCTTCCCCTCGAGAGGGGATGTGCGCACCCAACCCACGCGCGACGGGGGTGGGAATTTCACTGTCTAATGCTCATGTCGTTCCCGTGTTTTACAGATCAAACAACCCAATACAGACTGGCTGCCTCCAAAAACCCAGCTTGCGGCCCTGAAAAGGTACCGAGAGGACACGATGTAAAATGGGAAGAGGGCGGGGAGGGGGCTATTTCTGGTCGGACCTCCAGTGGCCTGGCCAGGCTCCGCAGGTGATTCTCTGCCCTATGTAGTTCGCAGAGTTTGGAAGACGTAGGCGGGATCCGAAGGGGAGTCCAGAAGGAGCCCGACAGACTGCGTACGCTGGTCAGCCCGCTCTCTGGTGAGTATTGAGGACCCCAGATCATCGAGCTCCTCACAGAAAACCTCGCGGCTCCCCGGCTCGCTCCAGGGATCGGGCTAGGGGGATGGCAGGAGCCTTGCATGCTTCATCGGCTCGGTAAATGCTTAATCCCGCATGAGAATCTGAGAGGATCCAAGCCTCAGCGCCTCCATGGGCAGCGGGAACAGCGATGTTAATACTCGGGTCCGTGGAGACTCCTCTTGCTAGGGAGAGGGGCCTTCAAACAGATCGGTCACCAAGGGCCACGTAGGCACCGGGCGCTGCGGCTCGGTCGCTCCGGGCCCGGGGCCCCTCAGATAACCTTGCTTTCTCTAGATTTCCAGAAGGCCTCGGGGGCCGCCACCAGCGTCTGGGCCCCCAGATACGGCCCGCTTTACCCGCCCCTGGACTATCAGCACAACGTTTACATCCCAGGGACCCCGACTATGGTGGGCAACAAGGAGGGGCCCCTTTTTTTGGACCAGGAGGACAAGAGCAGCTTCTCCACTTTTGGGAAGAGAAAGAAAATGAGCACGTATTGCGACATACACGACAACGTGATGATCAACAATGACCTCAAGTGATGGATGTGAGGGCGGCCGCGGGCCGGGGCCAGCTCTGTCCATGGTGCTGGCGAACCTGCCACTGGCTCTCCCGCTTTGTAAAACCTGCAGCATTACTACGAAGCAAGGCGCAGCGTGTTCTGCGTTACGAACTGCGCAGTGATGCTAAGACATTGCCCGCAGCGAAGGTGCCTGCTATTGTAATTAGCCAAATCCCGTCTCTGGACCGCAACTAGACAGAGAAGGCGGGCAGGGATTTGTAGCGCCTGGACAGCGAAAAGGCTGAAAACGACCGCCCCCCCGCTCCTCCTCCGGGGAGGGGCTGTTAGGCTTCGTCCCCTCTCTTTCTGCCGGGAGGTAGCTGGTCTGTGTATTAGTGGGTTCGTGGCAGTTTAGTGTGTCAAATTAAATGGACGATTTGCCTTGTGTCATACAGAACACCTCAGCAGGGGGACTTTTGGGGCTGCAAGTGGAGCAGCCTCCCCGGCATATCTTGCGCACTTCGAGAAGCCTTTAGCAAGCTCCATTTTGTGAACGCGCTATTTCCTTTGCTCATTAGGCTCTGTGAATGTATCCAGCGCCCATGTATATTTCTGACTGTTTAACGCACTGAAATAGGTGCGACACGCAATGCTAATTAACATCACGAGGACGGCGAGGTTCCGGGGTAGAGGAAAAGGAAACTAGAGCCCGGTGGCCAGCGCCCTTTTTGTGGGGGCAGGGGAGAAGCCTGAATAAACCTTCTTGGACCTGCCTCTCCACGATGTTTCTGGGGCTGAACGAAGCGCAGGGCGCTCCAGCCTCAGCCCATTGCTTCTGGCTTCATCTGCTAAAGCGAAGAGATGCCGAATATTGCAAGGTGCGGGGTTTACGTTCACGCTCAGAGGAGCAGGGGCACGCTCCTTGGGTGTGGGAGGCTTTTATTTTTAAAAAATAAAATATATCCGAACGTGTCCCAGGTCTGACACGAGTTCTTAAAGACAGCTCCAGGGCTAGTGCAGACTCCCTCCCCGCACATAAGAGGAGCACCCCCTGGCGTCTTGCTTCCCTCCCTGAGCTTTGGGACTATGCCCTTGATGGGTATGGAGACTGGGTAGCCAAAGGAGCGATTAGCAAATCGGGTCAAGGTGCACAGCCTGGGGCTACAGACTCCTTACTGAGAGTCCCCTGTAAGATTTGAAAATCATAACCGGGGGGGGGGTCGTCTCTGATTTTATTAGGACATGTGTTGGGCAGCTCTCTTTTTCTTCAGACCCCCCCCAAGAGTCAAAGAGTAATTTTAACCTTGCTGGTAACTTAAATGAATTGCCAGGGAACCGGTGAACCCCTCTGGGGGAGTTGGCATGGTCCAGGCCCAGGACTCCTGCATGGCTGGCACTGGCCTTCTACAAAGCACCTGCTGGTGGGCACAAGCTCTGCTCCCCTTTCCACCAGTAGGAGTCTCACTGGGGGATGGTTTGGATAGTTCTCAGTGGGGTTTCTTTCCCTTCAGTCTATTCTTGGTGGTTTTTCTGCTATGGGAAGTGTGATATGGGCCTCAAAGAAAAACAAGCCTTGGTAGGGCCCAACTGCCTCTTGTGATTCATAGTCAGCATTGGTAGAACCCGCCTCTACATGGGGGTGATTAGCATATGCCCACAGCCCATCCCTGCCCTAGATGTGCTGACAGGTCAAACAGAAGTCCCTTTAGCCAACCAACACAACGTCTTAAGGTGTTTAACATGTGATCAGAGGGTGTGTCTACATATGCATTAATGCACTTTTCCTAATGTGCATTAAATTTAGTACCTCCAATGTGAGGTACTAAATAAATGCCCATTATGATGCCCTAATGTGCAGTGCTGAAAGCACACATTTTAAAAGTGATGCTTAATGCTCAGTACCCAATATTATTGCGCATTAGTATAGCATTTGCACAGTTTATAGTATAGCATTTATACAGTTTTTTTAATGTAATGCAATGCTTTAATGCTCAGTAAAAAAGGCTACTGCACATTAAAGTGTATGTATAGACATGCCCAGACAGTATTTAAGTCCTCAGATCTGCTACAACCACTTCCTACCACCTTTTTAGTTGTATTTGGGTTAATTTCCTCTGAGAAACTCAGCCAAAGAAGCAAAACTCACCTGGAAACTCTTTTAAAGATGGCTCTCAACTTTTTTTTGTCATTCACCACTGAGCTAGGCACTCGGCAGCACTAGTCATAAGCTCCATGGGGAGGGAGTGAAATGGGTGAGGAAGGAGGGAGAATACAGCTTAAATGGAACTGTGGCTGTAGCTTGGTCCTGTTTGAAATTGACCCCTAGAAACTGAAAGGTCTTTGACTGGTACTCCTCTGTGTTGAAAGATCTGAGCTAACAGGCCTGTTTAAAATCATAACAAGGAACAATCTTTCTGGTGAGTTAATGTTGGTCTGTTTGCATGGAAACCATGTTGAAAAATCTGCAGAAGGAAAATTGCTACTGTCTTGAATTATTGGTCATTTCTGAACAATACATGCAGTGCATGAAAATTCTTTTTAAGTAAATAAAAAGACAGTTTTTGATTTATATCAATACATTGTATTTTAATAGCTCAAATAGATACATGGCTTTATGGGAAGCAAATAGTAACCATGCTAGAAAGGATTGCTTGGGATGGTTTGCATTTTATTCTTCATCAGGTATAATAATATTTGTAGCCTCAGAGCAAGGACTTGGTCCAAGCTTTATACAGACCTGCTAGAGAACTGGGATTTGTTGCAATTACCATATTGCATGTTAGCAATATTAAAATACTTCATCTTGTAGTTTACAGGAAAGAGCTTATTCCTTGCTTTCCTTTTGAAATCCCTGCTGTGTGATGTTATTGCAGCATGGTGGCTAGGGCATTTCATACCTGGCTGGTTTCTGTATAGCTATGACTGAAATAATCTCTCTACATGGTTGGCCAGACCTGGGGCCCTGTGAGCCCCCTTTGTGGTAAAATGGGGCTATAATGCTTGTTTAACCAGCTTCCTGAGGATTTGATCAGCACTGGGGAACATGTAGTGGTTTAGCCGTGCTCCATCACTCCTCCTTTAGATCCTGGCCTGGAATACCCTGGGAGAGAGGAAGCTTGGCTGGAAAGGCTTCCCATCCTGCAACTGGTAGAGAAATCCCTTGAAGCTCCTCTATATTGCAGTGGAGACCACACTAATCCTCTCTTCATCTTAGGTTTAAGGTGCTGCAAAAGCTGCACAAACCCATCAGAGTAAATCATTTAAGGATGCTTTTGAGAGAGAGCTGCACTCTAGGTATAATGGCTCATTATTTTCCTTTACTTTGTTTCTATTGTTCACTCATGCTTGTCCTTAGATATTATTTCCCCAGCAGTAGACATGTGCCAAACACAGGAATCAAAGTGTCTGGGAATAAAGGTGCTACTCATTGGGCACATCTACATAAAACACTAGAAATGCAGTAGACTAATTCTACTGTGCATTAGCGTATCATTGTGAATTCAGTGCTAATGTGCTAATGCGCAGTAGAATTAGTCTATTGCATATTAGCGTCACATAAAAGACATGTGCTGGTACTACTGCACAGTCATGCCAGTTATGGCACATTCAGTGAGTACCTGTTATTACAGGTGCTAAATATAATGTGCCATAATTATGGAACATTAATGCACATGTAGATGTACCCACTGCCTATTAAAATCTAAGGGCCCAAAATGTTCTTTCCTCCTTTCTTTTTCCCCACTCTTTCTTTCTTTTTTGATTGAAGTTCCCATGTTAGCTGCGGAATAACTACTGTGAGGCTGTGTCATTGCAATGTGACCTAACACAGGGCTCTGAGAAGTCAGATTACCCAAGCTCCATTCTTCTTGCCCCCGCATACTCCTTCTTTATGTGACACTGTGATGTGCAGGGGGTTGGACTAGGTGACCTTTGAAGTCCCTTTCAACCCTATGATTCTATGACCCCCAGCTGAGATAACAATAATGATTAGACTTTAGAGCCAGGTTTGGCTGATATCATTTGGGGCAGCAGTTATTTCTCATGAGGCTACCAACAGGGAGGCAATGGGTGTGTCCACACATGCATTAGATCTGGAACCAGTTTACTTGTGAGTAAACTACTCATGAGTAAATGCTTCCTGGCAGGCATCTATACATGCAGAGATACGGGAGCAGATTTGCACTTTCTGCAGTGCTGCAATGGGCCTCTGCCATCCCCAGGGCTCTAGCCACAGCTGCCAGCAGCTGTCAGCCGTCTTGAGAAGCCATCCCTGCTCTCTGCTCTCTGGTCAGCCACTTCACTGGCCAGAGCAGCATGCACAGTACAGGGGCATCTCTGGCTTCCCATGCCATGTCTGCTCCAGGCTCTGCCCCTAGCAGTGATAGCCAGTGCCCCAGGCTCCTGCTGTCCACTGTGCTGGTCCTGCTGGCCCACTGTACCAACTGGCAGCTGGCCCATGGCTGTCTGGACCCTGCTGGCTTCCCCATGTGCAGCGACTGCCTGCCTGGCTACACCATGCTGTCCCATGGCCACTGCCACCATTCAGCTGCCACCTGGACTCCATCCTACTGGCTGGATCCTGGCAGGGACACTGACAATGTGCTGCTGGATGTCACCACTGGGCTCACCCTTGCCCTTCTGGGCCTCCAGCCCTGCTGGCTCTGGACCCACTGGGTCAGCTAGAACTGGTGGCTGCATGTCATCCAGCAGATCTGGGATGACGAGCCATGCCTGCAGGCATTCAGGATGACCTGCACTGCCTTCCTGGACCTCCTGGAGCAGCTCTGCCTGCACCAGGGGTAGCAGGACACCAGCATGTAGCAGCCCCTCCCTACAGACACTTGGCCTGCTGAAGTTGGCCACACTCACCAGCCTCCGCTATGTGGCCCATCTCTTTGGTGTGGGCAAGGCCACTGCCAGGGAGGCTGTCCTGAATGTGTGTTGCATCCTCCAGGATGTGCTGGGGCACATGGTGCACTGATGACAGGATTCTGTGCCCTGGGATTGCCCCAGTGAATCTGTGCCCTGGACAGGACCATT